CTGGTTCTGGCATGAGGACAGAAGTACCTTAGGGAACCATTATCCTTCCTGCTACTGGACTAACAAAGGGTCAGAAGGCTAAAACTGGTGGGCTATGGAGTTGTTGCTCAGAGCTCAAATGAAAGCTAGAAAACAGTCTCATTTGTGGTTCCTGAACTGAGTAACTTTTGAAGACCATATAAAAATCAAACAATTCTCATTGTGAGTCAGGGGTCTGTTTTACAAAGGGCATCCTCAAAGCCTCACCTTTATCCTCTCCAAAATAAGGGCACAATATCATCTTATCAGAGAAGCCTTCCCTAACCAAGGATAAAACAGCCACTGCTCAGCCCACTCCATATTCCCTGTAGTCAATGTTGTGTTTTATCCACATTTATTATCTGATATATCCTAATAAGTGCTTTGTTTATTGTCTGCCATCTTCATCAAATACTAGTGCATCATAGTATCTTAGTAATCAATAAATATTTGAATGATCAATTGTCGATCTTGGACTGTGAAATAATTTTTCTCTCAGACAGTGAAATTACAAATTCCATTCAAAGATCTATCATGCCAAGGAGGCGACATGTTTATCTTTCCACTATCTAACAAACGGCAGAAATACAGACTGAAAAACTTATATTCAGAAAGTTGTACTAAGTTTCCCAAGGGGTGAGATTTATAATATATGCTTCAAAGGGAATGCTTATCCATGTCCAGAAGATGCAATAATCAGCAGTGCCTGTTAATATTAATAGCTCCTTAAATAAAAGAGCAGGTTTTTAATGCAAGGGCCACCTAGAAAAACGGAACATTATAACCCCACGCTCTGTTTTCCACAGCAATCAATCTCAGAACAGGCTACATTACCATTTTAGGTACTAGTTGCTATAAATCTGTTTATTAAAATTAATATATGTAAGGAATCAATTTAAGCTTCAATAAATGATTCATAATCTGTCCACCAGGTGAGACAAATAATGTAGGGGTTTTTGGTGCATTTTCTGATTTAAAAAACCTCCTCCTGACTTGATTTTTCATTTCTACAAAACTAAAAAAGAAATCTCCTTGTCTGATGGGCCTGGAAGTTCCATTTTATTTTAAAATCAATCTTTTGCCATATTATTTTGAGTAGTTTCATCTGTCAGTCCATTTCAGTATGTTTAATATTAAACATACTCATTGCCTCCAAACTTCAGAAAAAAATACACCAGATCTAAATCAACACCTATTTAGAAAGTACATTTATCAAGAATTGTAGCAAAACTTATAAAGACAGAGGTAACACCAATTGACAGTTCTGTTTTCACATGTCTTGGACCAGGGCCTAGGGTTGCAAACGTGGACCTGAATCTTTGCCTCAGTGGAATCCACTATAGACAGAATCAGTCCGCTTTTAGCTGTTCAATTGTACATAAGGATCATATAAGGCCAATGACACCCCCACATACAAAGCAAACCTCAGTAGGGTCCAGTCTACATGTGATACTCTTCCCTCTCCCTGGATTCCCTCTTTAGACTGCTGTAACAAACATACAACTTTTTTTCACAAACATAAAACGTTCAAGCCATAAAACCCCACCCCTGGCCCAGTTATACTGATACTACTGCCCTCAGCAACTTCATTTCATTTGATTTCACTTTTCAAACTTAATGAAAACCATAGGCAGTTGGGGAAGACAGTATCTCCTTCTCAAATATGCTTGAGATGAACCTGTAACAAGTCTTCCTGATGTAATGTAAAAATCCATTTAATATGGAATTTCATGAAATGATAGACAAATTGTTATAATGTATGGCTGAAAACATTACTTACTATTGTTACAAAAATGGAAGTTACAAAGCCTTGAATAAGGAAATGAGTAAGCAAAGCAAATGTCTGTCTCCCAAAGCTTAAGGTTACAAACTCTACTGGGAATAAGAGACAAATGCAAAAGCAGAAGAGGGTAAAGAAAGATTTCTTGGCAGACTCAATGGTGTCTTAAATACTATTCCTAGAATGGAAAGTGATTCAAACTGAGTAAAGCAACCCAAGAAAAACTCCTCCCAAGGCTGGACTATGACCAGAAACCTGAGACTGTCCATCAACAACAGCTAGTGCACAGACTCACTACAGAAAGTACATCTGGAAAAGAAATACTCTTACAATCCAGCTGGGGGTGGGAATCGCTCCACACCTTCAGGTTGGAGTATCAAGTTGGAAAATGACTGACTAAAATAGAAGTCAAATACCTAAAATAGAGGCGACAGAAAGCTCTTGTGTGACAGGCACCACACAAGATGCATGATAAAGATGCCAAACAGTAACGTCATCTGCTCCTCACAGCAACCACATACAGCAAACATACCACAGACCTATTTGTTACATGGGGAGCTGAAGAACACAGGAAGTGAAAATTATTCTCGGGCACATAAAAAGTACGAGTGGCAGCCAAGACACAAACCCAAGGGCTGGGTCATTCCCTCAGCACCACCCCAGAAAGCACCAGAGCTAGAAGGCAAAACAGTAAGAGCCCACAGCTGGAGCCCACTTCTCCCACACATCAGTTAGACACTATATGGTCAGGCCACCCTTTAGTTCTCAGTTTCCCCAACTTTAAATAACAACTCTTCATTCAGCCTCTTCCCTAAGTTTGGTCAGCTCTCATTCCCTAGCTTCCTACCTTTCTTTCTCCATTTCTATTCTGAGTTCTGAATTTCCGGTTTAAGGTAAGTGATAACTGTTCAACTAATAATAGTTATTTTACAGATTTCTGCTGCCCAAATTCCTGGACTCTGACTTTTTGTTTTCCTTCTTTGGTGCTCTGGATGTTTGCTATCTTTGGTTCACCTTTAAATACCTTGGGTTTCCTGGAATAACAGCAGCAGATACTCCTAGGAAGGGGGTGAAGCTCCTGGGTGGCTTACTAGGTTTCTGAGTTCTGTGGATAGATTGCAGTGTACTTTCTTTTACTAAGCTGCACATCTGTGTATGTGTGTATGGTAGGAGAAAGGAGTAGATAAGTCTTCTGATCTTATCATGAGCCCCCTTAACAACATCTGCTCTGCTTTGCCACTTCCCTTCATGAAGCACCAAATGACTCCCCCCTCATACTCTATTAATTCTTAGAGAATTTCATACAATGTATTTTGATCAGATTCAGCCCACACATACAACTCCTCCCAGATCCACCCCACCTTCCCTGCCCACCCAACTTTGTGGTTTAAAAAAGAAATTGAGTCTAATTTATTCTGCCCACATACTCTTGAATGTGGGGCCATCCACTGGAGAGTGGTTGACCTACCAGGGGCCACACCCTTAAAGAAAACTGACTCTCCCGCTCCCAGTAACTATCATTTGTCAATGGCTCCTCTCCATGCTGGAATTTTGGCAAGCTTGAGCTTGCACAGGTGTTGTGCATGGTGTCACATGTGAGTTTGCATGTCAGCACCAGACTTGTAAGAGACCCCCCCCAAAGCAGCACAGTCCAGCTGCCACCTCTGGTCCCTGATTCTTCGAAGGTCCATCCTTGAAATTTCTCAATACCTACTATATTTCCTGTCCCTTTTTCCCATGTATACAAAGCCCCCTGTCTGGGAGGACCTTTATGAGCAATCTCTCAGCTGCTCAGTCTCCTCCAACTCTCAGCTCCAGCATCTAGCCAGAGCTGGCTCTCCTGGTCTCCTGGTGGTTTATTTTCCCAGTCATAGTCAGGTGTGTGTTTTCCAGTTATCCTGGAGGTCCAGGTTCTTTGTGTCTCATTTGTTCTCCTCATTGCTTCATTTAGTATCTGGAGGATATGTGAAAAGTTGAGACTTCAGTGGCTGACAGTATCCTCTTGAGCTGTGTGATTCCAGGATAGAACTCAAACGTTGCCTAATTCTATACCAATAGTTGTAGGAATACAGGATTCTCATCTAAGATTTCCAAAAATCATAGTAGTGATCTAAAATATTTGTCCATATTTTATCAGAAGTTAAGAGATACCATTTCCTATTTATGAGCAAACTCAGAAATGCTACACTCAAGGACTCAGGGTGATAAGGATCCCACATAGTGAAGATGTTAAAAGCCACAACTAAAAAATGGCACAATATATATGATGCTATCTAGAGGAATATAAGCCCACCCTTTCAAAGAAAAGCAAACAAAATCCATAGAAATAAGTAATATCAACAAAGTTCCATAGACTACCATGGATATAGTCACACTGGAAGAAATAGCTTGCAGGTTACCGAGATACATTTTCATTCCTATTCCCTAAATGAAACATTAGAAGGAAAACACACATCTCCTGTTAGCCCATCCATACAATTCATAAGCTAATTAACTTGTATTATGCTTTACATTTTTTATTTTCTTATGCATACTTTTGAAAAGGAATTTTTCAAAGTCATGACATTTTTAAAAAGGGATCTTTTTCCCTTAAGTTACAATCTTTAACACAATTCTTAAACAATTTTAAGGCAATTTCTTTTTTAAAGAAACAAGCTATAATTTCAATGAATCAGGAAATATTATAGGTATAGGGTATATAAATGTTTGCTTTCATTAAAAAATGAATAAAGAATAAATATTAGGGTTAGGACTATAGGTCAGTGGTGGAGCACTTGCCTAGTAAATGTTAAAACCTGGGTTTAATCCAGCGCCACAGGAAGGGGAAAGAAGAATGTTGTAAAGCCATAATGCAAAAATTCTGAGAACCAAGCAGGCTTTAAAATACAGAGATTAGCTATTGAAGCTTTGCATACATCTTTCCAGCATCCACAGGCTTTGGGTTAAAATGCTGTTCAAGATGAACAGTGAGAGGTTTCCATAGTATAGCAGCTATCACGTTCATCTCACAAGATGAAGAGAAAACTCTGCTTCCTTTCCTATTTATGTTTAAGCTAATCCATGTAATAGTCTTAATGACAACTGGCAAGCCGTGGCCCTCCTTGTCCAATCCCCCAGCCCCTGGAACTTCCTAAAGCAAAGCCAGGTCAGGACAGCATTAAGAATAGTGATAAATCTGAAGAGTTCTGAATCAACATCTTACCTCGGACTCATCTGTAGACTCTTCATCAAGAGACCCAGTTTCCTGTAAAGCACAGAGCAGATAAAAGGTCAGAAGAAAGGCCAGAAAATTAAAAAATAAATTTGCAAAGGAAAAGAGAAGGCATCCCACCTGCCCTTCTGGAAACACCACTTTCGATTTTAGAAGACACTGCAGGCTGAACTCTCACTCTCCTTGTTACAACTTCACACTTTGGTGGGAATGGGGCACCTGGGACCCAAGATCATGAGGCACCAAGCTTCTATTTTCCTCCCTCAAACACTGAACAAATTACCCTAGAAACTAGGCACCTGAGAATCTGAAGACTCCGTTAATGGAAATCCATCTGGCAAAAGCTTATTGATCTCAAAGGGGAACAAGAAACAGCCACCTCAAATGAGCCAGTTTTTATACTGACATCTCTTATGTTACTAATTCTTATGCTATTAATCTGATTGAGTTCAAAGGACAATCTTACTAAAAGTTTGTGGGGTTGCTTTGTCTGCTGGGTTTTTTGTTTCGTGGGTTTTTGTTAGTTTTTTGAGACAGGGTCTCATGTACCCCAGGCTGGATAGAACTCACTATATAGCTGATGACCTTGATCTTCATTCCTCCTGCCTCCATATCCCAGGTGCTGAGGTTATAGGCATGTGCTGCCATGCTCTGTTTTATGTGGTGCTGGAGATGAAACCCAGGGCTTTGTGCTAGCCTAGGCAGGCATTGTAAATCTGAGTCAACTGAGTCATAGCCTCAGTTCTAAAATAGTTTTAAAAAGACTCCCCTTATCTAACAGATCTTGCACAAACAGGCTGTGTAATCTGCAAATTCCTTAATAAACCATTAACTCTAAGACAAATTCTGCCACTTAATACAGTTCCCCTCCTGCCACACAATGAATCTTGCTGCTCTGAAGGAAACAAAGCAAAAATGGAAAAATGGACTTGATTCTGCTAATCTCTCACCTGTCCACTGAAAGAGAGAATCTGCTGATGCCACACATCCTCAAAGGGGTCAGCAAAATGAAGATTTACTTAACGTACTTATAGATATCAATAGCAATAAAAGGTTACATCTAATATGCTGACACCAAAAGTAAGCATTTTACAACAACCCAAGAAATACAACAAATACAACCAAAAAAAATGGGATAAGAACATTTTTTTTCAAGAAAAAAAGGGAAGATTTTAAAGGAAGTCAGATGCACAGTTTACTCAATTCAAGCTGGAGCAGGATAAATGTAAATCTGATGTTCAAGAACAGTTTCATACATCAAAAGTCAGTAGCTTGGTAGGAAGCAGGCACCTTTCAAAACATTCTTAAGGAAAATGCAGTCCTTGCTCTCCAAGATTGTGTTAAATAGAGGTTTTAGCTACAATTTAGAATTTTTGTCTAGACGTGTCATTAACAATGATGAGCATCTCCTCTATATGCTGTGCAAGTTATTTGATTTAATGTGACTCTGGGTCTCAGAAGGGTCTCAGTAGTTTGGAGTTTACAATCCTGCAAAATAATGATGTTGAGAGAACTGAGTCTTTACATTCAAAGAATAAGACTGGACCCTTATCCTGCACTAGCCACAAAAAACAACTCAAAATGGATAAAACACCTAAAGGTAAGGGAGGATACCATAAAATTCAGTATGGAAATTCTCCTTGGCATTGGCGTTGATTTCTTCTATATCACACTAAAAGCTCAGGTCACAGAAGCAAAAATAAATGGGACGTCATCAAACTAAAGTCCTGCTGCATAACACAGGAAATAAAAAACATCAGACAGTCTATTGCCTGGGGAAAAGATCTGCAAGTCATACTCACAAATGGTTAACAGTCCAAATTTGCAAAGAATTCATACAACTCAATAACAGGAACACATATAACCTAATTAAAAAGGAGCTCTGAATAGACATTTCTTCAAAGAGGACATTAAAAATGGACAACAGGTATATGAAAAGGTGTTCTAAGTCACTAACCATGATGGAAATGTGATCAGAATCACATTATCTCACACCCATTAGGAAAACAAGAGATAACCAGTGTTGGGGCTGGAGAGATGGCTCATGGATTAAGGACACTGGCTGCTTTTGCAGAGGACCTAGATTTGATTCCCAGAACCCACATGACAGCTAACAACAATTCGTAACTCCAGTTTCAGAGGAATCCAACTCCCTCTTCTGACCTCCACAGGTATTATACAACTGGGTACACTCACATACATGTAGGCAATACACTCATACACGTAAAATAAAAATAATAAAACATAGGCCAGGCATGGTGGTGCATGCCTTGAGGTTACCAAATTTTCTTCCAAATTCCCCAGTATAATAATAATAATAATAATAATAATAATAATAATAGTAATAATAATAATAATAATACAAAATATTTAAAAAGAGAGCATGATAATCAGTATTAGCAAGGGCCTATTGCATTATCTCCCTTATATGTGAAATAAAGGGAGAAATGTCAAATATGCAGTATAGAGCAGTCACTACTAGGGAAAGGGGTCTCTGGAGATGAAGCACACAAAGCTGCAGATAGGCAGGAAAAAGCTGTCTAAAGATCTCACATACAACATAAGGGCTATAGCCACTAATAGGTGTATTCATTCAACTGTAAAGATTTTGCCAAAGAGCAGATTAGAACTACAGAAGATTCTTGCTACAGGGAAATGGACAATTCTGACCAGAGTATAGTTACAACTCTGACTTCTTTACTGGACATCTATCATATATTGACCATGATGTTCTATGTTTTACCATTTGTATGTCTGTAATAGAGCATTCTGAACATCTCTAACCCTTTAAGGCCAGAATGACGCATAGAGATCAAATTTAATGATTTCTAATCTATCTCCATCCCTGACATTCTGGAATATTAAATATTGTTAACACTGGCCAATATGCTGCATCTAGATTCCTATTTCCCATATCTAGGGCTCTAGAAAGACACCTGACTACTCTTTCCAGAGAATTACATTAAACCTAAGGAACTTTTTAAATGTGGAAGCACCTCAAATGCACATGCTCAGTTTATTCATGAGCCTTATTAAAACAACATCAACCAACGGAAGCCAGTCCAAAATCTCAAAACAAAATTTCACTCTGGCTCTACACCAGAAAGAATGCAGTGCTGGAACCTGACACCCCAAGACTTGCAGATTTCAGGGAAAACCAGGCTGAGCAGTTTCCAGTGGCTGCTAGCATCAGCTGAGAATATTTGCTCCAGAACCCTATAAGGCCCACCTTTAACATCAGCATCAAGCACCTGAACACAGATGTGGCCTCAACACATCTACACTTCTGTCCACAATGTTATGAGAGCCGTGCTTGAGTAACATCAGCTATTAGCCTGGTGTGTTTTCTTAGTGCTTCATTCATTGACCAATCCCTCTACTTAACGTTCCAGAGACAGTGGTAAACAAAAAGTCATAAAGATGACTGAACCGTGAGAAAGGTTACCACTTAGGGACTCCATGGTTTTCAAACTTTAAAAAAAAAAAAAAAAAAAACTCACATTAGAATTATGAAAAAGTAAGTTCTAAAACTATGCTGTTCTCAGGGCTGGAGAGATGGCTCAGTGGTTAAGAGCACTGGCTGTTCTTGCAGAGGACCTGGGTTTGAGTCACAGCAGCTAACAACTGTCTATAACTCCAGTTCCGGTGATCCAACTCTATCTTCTGACTTCCATAAGCAATATAAGACACAGGTGCACTTATATACATGCAAGCAATACATTCATATACATAAAATTAAAATAATAAAAAATATTTTTAAAAATTGTGAAGTTGTATAAGTGAAATAAGTCACTCCCCTCCTCCCCCAAACCCACAAAAATTGTATGACTTTTATGCATGTAAGACAGAAGTAAAATAGAAATTATTAGGATGAGTCAGGGGTGTCTATCAATAGGTAAAGTTTTAGTGTATGATAATGGAAAGCTCTAGAGCTAGATGGTGGTGATGACTGCAGGCTGCATGGCAACGTGAATGTAATCACACACTTAAAAATGACTGAACTAGTGAATTTCATGTCCAATTAAAAAAACACTGCGGCATTCCGTTTGAAGCAAAAATAATAAGCTTGAAGATATCCAGTGACACAAATGTGTAGCCTCACACATCCCACATAGCAGGCTGCAAGTAAAACACAATCATTTGCCTTTCTTTTGCAAACCAATCCCTCAAACTCCAATCATCCATCCAAAGACTTTCACCCAATGATCTGTACAATGTGACCTGTAACCTCCATAATTTATTCATCAGCTGCCAACGGGACTATCTTCCCAAAGCTCAGATCAGACTGATTGCTTCCCTCAAAGAACAAGCCATGTATCCTAGCCCCAAAATAAGAACAGGTTTCAGGCTCCCCAGTAAAGTAGGCAAAGCTATTCCTAGTCTGACCCCAGAAGACATCTAGTCTTTCTTTACAATCCCTCCACACACCCATGACCCTCCAGCCACACTGGGTAGGCTCTCATTGAGAGGTCACATGCTCATGTCTTTATGTGAAATGATGGCAAAATGACAGGTAAGGCCCAGGTGTGACCTACAGATGTGTTGTTTAACCTCAGTAATGTTGTTAGTGGCACGCGCCTGTAGTCCCAGCACTAGAGAGGCAGAGGCAGACAGATCTCTGTGAGTTCAAGGCCAGCCTGGTCTACATAGTGAGTTCCAGGTTAGCTGGTGCTACAGGGAGGCCCTGTAGGTCCTGTTTCAAAAAGACCAAAAAAAAATTGCCATATAAAAATCTGTATTTCTGAGATCAAAACCCACTACCTCTGCACAGCATCAGTATTTCTGCATAACTTCAGTTAAGCTGAGCAGCAATGCTGGAGATGGAATGCACCTTATTCTTCAATACCACCTCCAGCCTCACTCACTCAGGCAAAAGAACGTGCCTTGAATCTGTGATCCTTGATGAGCTTTTCCTTAGGGAATTCCCTCTACTTAGCCCTGGCACAACTCAGATATCCTAATAGATTTCCATCTCCTCACATTGTCTCTGAGTGCAGTGACACCCATAAGGGGAGTCCTCAGGGTTAACACAGCCAGGCACCCATGTGGCTTTAACTCCACGGATTCATTTGTGTGTTTTATGATTTCACAGTGCCAACCTGAGATCTAAAGTCTGAAAAAAATCACTGGGTATTTCTAAATGTTCACCTTCCTTCACAGACTAACTTTGGTCTCCCCAAATCTAGGTTTGGTCAATTACTCTCTCTTATTTATAAAATATTTCAACCTAACCACTTTAAAACATACTTATTTCATATCGGCAAGTCTTAGAAAGAAAATTCCTAATTTACAGGCAAGAAAACTGAGGCACTAAAATATGTGCAAACCTAATGTTTATTTTATGTACATGAGATATTAACAATCATGGACTGTACCATCTGATAATCTATAAACAACCTACAGTAATGATAGACTTTCCCTAATTTCTAAGATGCCGGAGAAGTGGAAGTTGAAACTCTCCCATCTAGCCAAGGAATCAGTGGTGTGCAGTTGAGAAGGGAAGATGAAAGACTGTGGATCTAGTAAGAAACGTACAGAGGGCAATCCACATTGTATTTGAATTAGTAACATTGCAATGTTTTAAATATGATAAAAATAACTTCACACAAATTTTACCAAAAATTCACAATATGACAATTACGAGTTGTTCTCCTCCTAATAAATTCATTTAAACACTTTGTGTTTGGAAAGTCCTAGCTATCTGGGAGATACAGACATGAGTAAGCTATAGTCCTCGTTCTGAGGACTCAGCAGTCTGTAGGAGACAAATATACCACCAACCAGACTTCAAGCACAATGTTATTCATGAGCAGTAGGGATAAATACTGTTGGGCTTCTGTGACTATGAAAGCCAACTATAAATCGTTCTGGAACTAAGCAAAATTGCTGGTTACAAGAATTCCAGGCAGAATCTAAGATATTAGCTCTTTCTGAGAACTATAAAACACAAATGTTACTTTTACAAAGTACTTTTACTATATTCAGCAAAACCAAGGCTTTCACAATGACTTACACACAAACACCTGTCCAATCATAACCAGTGATTTTAGCATTAGACTCTGAATTGTTTTATAGTATCTCATGTCAGTTCAGATGTCACCACTTTGGCTATTCATTAAAAAAAAGCGGGGGGGGGGGGGACAATCACCAAAGAACACAATGCCCAGGTTCAATTGTGTGCAACTCATCTTGAAGGGCTGTTGGCATCTACAGGACATGGTACCAAGAAAATGCCAACCTTTGCCTTCCTCTGTAATTTGTCCTGGTAGTTCATTTAAAACATATGTCAATTCCTAAAGTACTCAGGAAGAGAAAAAAAAACATGTCATGATTTCCAAAGAGATTCAAGGTGGCAAAACTAGCAAATTTCACTTACTCCACTTTTGCACCTCTTATCTTCAAAAACTGAGTAGCAAAGACCAACTGTCAGATTTTAATGGCATCCTACCCCGAAGCGCAAGGCACACTAGTCCAAAAGAATACAAAAAGCTCATGTTTAAATCTTCAAAGACTAGTAGTATAGATACAATTATTTGCTGATTTTTAAAATACAACAATTAATGAACGTTTGCTTCTTTCTGCACTAGACAATAGAATGCTGATCTCAACACCACCAGGAGGGCTAGCTCTCTCCAAGAGTATACTAGCTATTAAAGTATGATGGGATAATGACTGAAAGGAAAATTATCAAGATGGTAAGGGCTAATTCCACTTCATAAAGTTCCTGACACTTATCAAGCAGTATTCCAGTACTGGCCATCAGCTGCGAACACATTCTTACCATGTAGCTTACATTGCAATAGTGAAAATATATGAGAAATTGTAAAACATGATAAGCATTATGGAAAATATAGAATGTGGAAAACACAATATGGAAGGTGGTTTTCAAAGAATGGAGACAAGAGCCAGGGAGACTCTTGTTAGAAAGAATACTTATACAAAGGCATGAAGGAAGACCAGTCCTTGGTGTCAAAAGTCCTAAAGAGGGCCAGCATGGTAAAGGCCCTGAAGCAAGAACATTCCTGGCTTGTTTACAGAACCCTAAGAAAGGCAGTGTGAGAGGCACAGAAGGCAGGAGGGAACACTGTGGACAATGAAGTCAGAGAGAGGCGGAAGGGACTGGGGCAAGGCCCCGATGGGCAACTAGGCTAACTTGAGGACATGGACTTCACTAATTTGGTATGGGATGGTTTAACACAGATGTTTTATCTAACTTCCATATCAGACTAGACATTTACCTCATGAAATTCTCTTGAGAGGACCAAATGCAATGTGAAACGATCTTTGTAAACTTGAAAGCAATGTACAGACATGAAACATTCTTATCTACCTAACTTTCTAATTTTTTAAACATCAGCCAACTTTGCCAAACTCTTCTGTGAGTGGAATAAGGACAACTCCCTGCATTTCTACTACACTAGCTCTAGGAAGCAAAGGAACTTGGTTGGATGCTTTTCTCCCACACCACAATTATGTTTCAAGACAAAATGGAGGCGCACAATGTGGAAAACCATCTGCGATGACAGTCATGAAATGGTGTGTTCTATTTCCTGTGGACATGCCCAAAATAGAAAAGAGGGTTTGCACAAGCGATGGATTAGCCGTTATCACAATGTCCAAACCCAATTTCTACATAGTCAAGTTCCTTAACTATTAGCATATATAAAATATATACCGGACATACTATGAAAGTAAAGAATACTGCAAGCGGTAAAAATTCCTGAAAAGTACATGTCTCTTCTGACAGCTCATCACCATGTCACTACAGAAACTCTCGGCCCAGCTAATGGGAAAAAAAATATCAAACTGAAAGACATTAGAAATGGAAACAAGCTCACTCCAAGTTCCGGCCTATTTTTTCAACTTCGTTTAATCTTGTCCTTTGCCCTAATGTGTGGCTATCATTATTACTCTGTGGAAATAAAGCAATAATGTCTCCCCATCACTCCAGTGCCACCCTCTCCGACGCGGCTGGACGCTGCCATGAAGTCTTGCCAGCAAAAGGGATAATCAATCTCTCAAGCCTCCCATAGCAGTCAGTTCCTGACCTGCCTTCATGGACACAAGTCGGAGGGGCTGAGCGCTGCAGGGCAGACTCCGAGCGCGAGGAGTGCGCGGTGTTGTCCCGAGCTCAGCCCCCAGCGCCCCCGGCCAGGCCCACCTCGCCCCGGGCACCCTCAAAGCCCTAGCTCCGGAATCCCCGCCGTGTGCCCCTCAACTACCGCTGGAACCTTTACCTGCTCCTCAGCTTCCGCCATAGCGCAGCCCGAGAGTCATGTGACTGACCCGGAACGAAGGGAGGAACAGACGTGACCGGTGCCTAATGGGAAATGTAGTTTTTGCTGCACCTGGTTCCTCATCCCGCCTGTTGAGTGACCCTCATTTTTTGCCTAGCAGAGTCCTGCTTTAGAGAATTTATCATAACTATAGGGAAAGCCTGGCTTTACTTTACTGTTGTTCTGCGTTCTGTTGTTGCAGTATTTAATTAAGCACTTATATACAGGCCCTAGTCACTCACAGTGCATGAATTATCTCATTTCTCCTCACTGCAGTCCATATGGTTACCCCATGTGTACCCCCACTGTACCTCAGAGATCACACTAAGCTTACACAAGAGGCTTAGATTTAGAATAGGGCCTCATCTGATGCCAAAGACTGATATCAAATGTTGTCTAATACTGTCGCTGTACCCACCCACCTTTTAAAAAAATATTTTATTTATTGTTTTTATTTTATGTGTATAAGTGTATTGCCTGAATGTGTATACGTACACACACACACACACACACACACACACACACACACACACACACGCCTATCCCGTGGTGCAATGCTCGCAGACATCAGAAGAGGGATTGTTAGCTGCCATGTGGGTACTGGAAATCGAACCTGGGTCCTCGGCAAGATCAGTCAGTGCTCTTAACCACTAAGACATCTCTTCAGCCCCCACTCACCCCCTTTTAAAAAACATAGTGACTATAACATTCTTTTAAGTGAAGACTCAGAACAATCTGCATTCTAACAAATATTTAGCTCTTGATACTTGAAGTTGACATCTTCTGGCATGTGAATATTGAATCTTTTAAATCTCCATTGTTTAATTATTTGTAAAACTTTCTTTGACTATCTTCTACAGGTAACATTCATGGTAGAACGAAAGCTTCTCATTGGTCAAATCTGAAAACCACTGTATTCCATCCTTTAGAAAAACTGACCCTACTCTATGTTTCTGGACATTTATGAACTATCTTTCCTAACCCTAGGAATCCACAGTATCTTGTCCAAACACAGGCATTTTCCTTTCACGCTTTCTTTGAGCTGGTGACTCATAGAGGGTATCCCACAGGGCCACACGAGGTGTGAGCTGCAGGTTCTTTTTGTTCCCTGTGCTACACTGACTCTGACCTAGTAGACCATCACATAATCACCACCCTGTGCTTCCCCTAGTCCCTAACTGTCTCTGTTCAACTCATTGCTCCTCAGTGGCCCCAGAAGCCAGGGTGATGTCATCTCTCTGGCACTCGTCTTCTCTCAAGGACCTAAGCAGCTTCCGAGGCCTGCCAGGGCCCTTCTTTCAGTATACTCATCACTCAGCCACAGGGCATTTACACACCCACAGGCAAGTACCCAAGGCTGTGTCGAATGTAAGAATTTCTCAGAGGTGTTGCTAAATAGCCTAGAACCAAACACCATGCATGATGGACTCCAAGTCCCAGAAAGACCTTGTGAGAGCTTTCTCCCTTGGGGGGACTAAGTAATGTCTAGCCTCCTTATAAGATCTCAATAACAAACCAAAGTTTGATTCCACCAGAGTTCCTCCTGGGGAACCACTGAGTTTACTGAGCTTACTTACAGAGTAAGTGAGGGGTTACTGAGAGGATTGTGGTGGAGCCCAAAACAGTGTAATTCAAGAAGGATGGTGTCCTGGCTTCTCTATACCTGCATAGACAGAGCCCCCTCCTCTAGTCTCTATTCTTCCCTCAGCCTATATTCTCTAGCCTCTTGCCAAAACCATGTTGCTAAATGCAATTAGGGGAAAAATTGCACACAACTGGCTGCAAGGAGTGGCTGGATATTTGGGTGAGGTTCCAACAGCAAGGGAGGCCAAGTACAAGGTTGCTGCTGTGGTCTTTCCCCTCACGGTGCTTTTTTTTTTTTTAATAACTACTTTTGTTTTAATTTGGGTGAGAAAAATGACAGGAAGCACTTCCAAAAATAGTAAGTGCTGGGGAAATCACCACTGAAATCCCAAATGAGATTTTGTTCTTACTCTCCCCACCAGTGTATGGCCTCTAAAAATTCTGATGACTTCCATAGCCTGGAGAGGTTCTGCCTCTTTGCTTCTAGACTGGCTTTCTTCTTAACCCCATCTGACTTCTGAATCCAGTGAGTATACATGTATCTCCTTCAGGCTACCACAACCTGGCTCTGTGGTGATGGTATATTATGGTTGGGGGCGGGAGGGTAGTTGAAAGTCTATTGAAGAGGTTTTCTGAGGACTGGAGAGAGCTCAGTGGTTAAGGGCACTTCTGGCCTCAGCCTGCACACATACATATGCATATGATCACACATATATACACACACACACAGAGACATGCACATATACTCACAAATTAATTAACTAAATTTTTTTAAAGAAGAAAGATAAGATCTTCTGAGAACCCAAATCAGCCGGGGCTTCAGATTTGATTTCATTGCTCATTTTGCTGGGGTTTTTGTTTTTTGGTTTTTGGTTTTTTTCAGGGGAGGGGGAGCTTAAGAAGCTGGAGCGCTCTAGTTTTTCTAGTTTTGCATGTTTATATGTTGGGTGAGTCTTCTCCATAAATCTTCAAAAGACACATTGCTTTCATCTTCTGCATGGATTCTGCTCTGCAAGACCTCCTGGTGGGAAGCACTTTGGGCTTTCCTGGACTTCCTACTTTTTTCAAATAAAGAATTTTCAATATTCTTTCTCAAAAGGGGTGCTGTGTGCCTGATTGAAGAGGCATTTGCTGGACAGTCTTCTCTGCTGGTCCAATCCCAAGGAGTCTGTCTGTTCCCTACTTGGTCTACCTTGACCATGATAAGATACGATGAGCATGGGTTCCATTGTTATTTCCTTTTGGACATAAGGAAAGAGGCACGAGCATGCAAAATTGAAACCGATTATTGGCTAGCAGGTTCACTCTGGGTCGGTGGGCACAATGAAATTCACATGCGACCTCTAACCCCCAAGTTTTCTCCTATGAGAGTGTGGGATTCTCTTATCTAAAAGGCCCTGGAACCTCTTGCTACTCCAAGTGTACACTACAGACCACCTGGGACCTTGTTAGGGCTGAATAATTTGAGACCTTTTGAGTGCCTGACTGAACAAGAATTGGAATTTTAATAATGTCCCTAGTTTATATACAGGTCAAAGTTGGAAGTGTTTGGCATAATAGTCATGGATTGTGTCCAGTCACTTGCTGTTCTTATACATATTGTTCATTCACTGTCTCCAACTTTAATCTATGGAAGTAAAGGTGAGATTCAACATCTCATTCTCCCCGAAGAGGGCCTGAAACTTGTTACTAGACTTTGGAACCCATACCTAATCCCTTGTATTTGCAGAGTAATTCACTGCTTTTAAAAATCTGTCTTATAAGTTTTTGTATAGTTCTGAAATCATGTAGTAACTTAGTACATCATAATAGTCTCTCCATAATAACCTTAGTTCATTTTAAGCAATATTAATAACTTCCATATTTTCTATTGTAAATAGTATTTCTAAATTTGGGGAATGAAAACTCGGCAAAGTGGAAAGGTGAAGTTAAAAAAATGTCAGGCTCATATCCCTTCTAAATAGGTGGGCCATTTGGAGAAACTTTTCCCAGTCTCTAGCTTCTGATCTCTGTTTCCATGGTTTTTCCCTCAAAGGTACCTCTTTTTTTCTCCACAATTTAATTTTGGTGAGAAATGTCAGGCATTAGATTGCTACCGTTTTCATCCTAAGGTCTTTCCTGACAGCAAATGACAAGTAAAAGCATACCATATTATGCTACCTGCTTCAAGCAATAATCTTAGCCTTTCTTTAATTAACTTTTTCTCCCAAATAGATAAAATAATATTGATGCTATCTTTAGTAAATCAATAAGCCTTAGTTTATTTTGCAATTTTGTTCTTAAAAAATCATACCCACTACTCTTCTAAATGTTATTTTAACACATACCTTAGAAGGGTCCACAGGTGTGTTAGTGACCGTCTGTTTTCAAAAAACCTGATATACTCAACTTATAGAGAAAATATTAATTTTGTCTCACGGTTTGGAGGTTCTTGTCCATAATCAGTTCATCCTCTTGCTTTGGGGCTTGTGTAAGGGCAGTATATCACTTCAGGGATACGTAAAAACACACAATTGTCAGGGAGCAAAAGAGAGAAATGAGGGAACACCGTCCCTCTGCTCCTTTTAGGGCCAACCCCATCCCCTAAGATCACTCCTTAGGTCCCAATTCTTTTTTTTCTCAAGGCCCTAATTTTTAATTTTAATGATTATCTATAATAAATTCATTTAAAAATTAATTTTAATTTATTAATTCTATATTATATAATATTTATATTAATTCTATTAATTCTCTGGCAGTGTAACCGGTGTCCACAAAATAAAATTTTGAAGTAATAATCATTGTCTGCTTTCTCAGAAAGATAAATACATGAATATAATTAAGATTCAATTTTTTATATGTCTATTAGAAAGATCTCAACCTAAATGAAGTTGTGCATGAGAAATCTCTATGGATTTGCATTTATTTCTATTAGTAAAGCCACTAGCAATAGTTACAATTATACAGTGTTTTGTTTTATTAAATTTATGTTGAATTTTTGTGAATTTCATACAACATATTTTGATCATATTTATATTCCCTTCCTGTATCTGAGCCCTCCCCGTTTCTAGTCCCCTACTAAATTTAGGCCTACAGAGTTAAGTTTGTGTCCCCAAATACCCTATGGTTTGGAACCTGGTCAACCTACAAAGAGTCTCATCCTTAAATGAGACTGACTCTCCCCTTCCAAGCAGTCATTGGTTGCCAGTAGTTGCTTGGGTAGGACTGGAGTTTCCCCATGTCTGCAATTTTTGTCTGGCTTGAGCTTATGTGGAACTTGTCCATTCTGTCAGCATTGCTGTGAGTTCATATGTGTAACTGACCAGCTGTCTGGAAAACTCTGCCTCCTTGTGGTCATCTGCCTTCTCTGGTTCTTACAATCTTTCCACCCCCACTTCCACAATGATGCCTAAGCCTTGAGGACAGAAGTTTAATATAGGTGTCTTATTCAGGG